ATATGGCAGAAAAAAAGAAATCGAGATAGGCCCAATTCAGGTTAGTTAACAGGTTAGTGGCCGAGCAAGGTATTAAACTGAGTAAGTTGCTCAGAGAAATACATACCTCTGCTAGTGAACCCAGCTCTTAATATGTATGTTCACAGCCCAAAGGAAGATTTGAAGCAACAGTAACACCCTATTTAGTCCAGCATTATGAAACATACATAGCAACAATAACATTATTCAATGGCAAAGTTTAACATACCACTTATTTTGCCACTTAAAGTAATTCTCCACCTTCGATATTCTAACACAAGCATGCACTTCTCAAGTGGAGCAGCCATATATCATGATAGTGAATGACACTGCCTACAAAACTTTGGCACAAAGTGATCTCAGTAGCCTCCACTTCACCAATCCATTGATGCAATCCATATATTATTTCTTATAAGATGAATTTCTCTGCCATCTCCCCCTGCTAGTTTTCTCTGGCCTCCTTTGTTGAGGACCAGGTTATACAAAGTAAGAGGTGATATTTACAACTCGCTCACTACCCACATGACCCCTCCAGAAAAAAGTATTAACCAACAAATTTCAGTCTGATTCACAACACACAATGCCAACTGCAGCAGGTTTTTCCAATCTTAGCCATAGAAAACAGGCTAGGAGGAATTCTGAAATGTCCCCTGCACTTCAAGCTAAAACCAGCTAAACACTAAAAGAAACCCTTTGATCCCAAATAGTCTTGTTTTATTTGAGGTGACCTATGAAGTTACTTTCTGCCTTTCTATTTCCTCCTCAATGATGCAAGCATCATTGGCTGGGCTAGGTAAAGGTTGGGTACAGACCTTCAGATTCATGTTAGCACAACATAAATAGCAGAGGTTGAGTTTTATCCAAGGAGTAGGGCTTGGACTAAATGTGCACTCACACTGGAGAATTTTCTTCTACCTTTCATTTCCTTTTGCTGGCAGGGTGAAGGGACATCTAGGCCATGCTTTGTCTAGAAAGGTTGGCCCCAGATGATCCTTTAGGTCTCTCTCAACCTGGGATTCTATGATTTCTACTTTTACCTCTCAATATTTTGTCCTATAGAATCCTAAGCAGTTGAAGTGAACCCTACATCTAATGAATAAATATGCTTCCAAAACATGAAGCTCAGATCTTCCAAGCAGACACGGGTTTCAGACACTGTAGCAAGCTGTTCCGAACACTGCCGGATCTCCAATTCAAACAAAAATATCCAAAGTCACTACTGCTTTTGAGAATATATGCCAGACAAACAATAAAGTCAATTTACTATGACACCTTTAGAAGGAGGTCTCAATATTTTTTCTCAGCTGCAACCAATCGTTAGCAGCAAAGCTGAGTTATGCTTGACACTCTCTTTAGTACCTTCTCAGCTTCAGTGCTCTACCTTTATTTCATGTCCCCATTTTTTGGCCCACTGTCCCCCATGTCAACACACCTTTTCATTAATCACTCTTTTCCATTCTCTTTTCCCATAATTCTTTCCTTGTCTTTCTCCTCCATGGTGCTAGCTCCTCCTCCTCTTATCAGAGGTACACTCTGATTTCTGATCCTTGCAAATGAAGATCCCTTCTTTTACTCTTCTTCCTATTTACTGCTTCCTTAGACAATTCCCGTTTTAACCATGATCATGAGTATTGACATAGGTTAAGATTAGGGTAAAACATTTTCTTGGTCTAGGGCATAATTAGAGAAAATGCTTCTTCATTGTTGTGCAATATTGTTAGACAAATCTGGTACCAAACAGCATCTGCAGTGAGACACTGCACTATTTGGGCCAGGGTTAAGAGTAGTCAAGTGTCTCTGACACACACCACAGGGAAAAGCTTTTGTTTCTTGTAAAGCCCTACCAGTGTGACACCTGCAAGGCAACCTCTGTGAGCTAGCCAGCTCCATTTTATACCGAGGAAGTATGAACAACAAGACAGCTTGGTGTAGATAAAACATCGCTGCTGACTAGTTACTGGAATTGCTGAATCCAGACGAGGAGCCTGATGCTCCTTCTGTATCTTTCAGACACATCTAGTTGCACAACCCAAACAGTAAAGACTAGCCAGTAGATCACTAGTCACCATTTTTACTTTAAAAGCTTAACTGAATTTTGTGGCATGAACCAGAGTTATCCCAGTTAGTCCATCTTAAGAGGCCAGATCAGCAATGTACCTTGGAACAATGCAGGTTTCGTAGGAGAGATCGATTTCACAGTATGTGAAATCTCACAGTATGACCAATCACAGAGGTGAGCTCTCACAGTAGGACCACAGCCCAGAGAAAACTGGGGCAGCAGCTGCTCACAAGATGAGGTTTCAGACCAACTTTCAGAGAGCACCTAACTTAAAAGGTCAAGTGAGCTTTTTCATTTCACTCCCTCCACAGATTTTCCTTGTTATTTTATTGATAAAATCTGAGGAGAACATGTTGCTGTTTTTATAGTGCAACACAACTGACAAACCCTCACTTTACAGAAGTGTAGGTTGTAGCATGCATGACTAATGATGCTCATTAAAAAATTAAGTTCTGATGAAGTTCATTAATGCTTGGCTTGAGTCTTGCTAACAGTTATGCAATATTAAGAGCCAGGCAATTACAGATCTTGGCTGCAACTCATTGAGAGATAAAAGACTACCCTTTTTCCTGTTTAACTCAAGTGCAACACGCTGTACTACAAAAAGAAGCCATCTTGAAACAGCTTCTTCAACAATGAGACACAGTCTGCAGTTCCATTGCCACCTGCGGGCAAGTGCTGGAGTCTGTCAGAATCATAGAATGCTTTGGGTTGGAAAGGACCTTAAGGTCATCTAGTTCCACCTCCCCCCCACCATTGGCGGGGACATCTCCCACAGATCATCCTGCTCTATTTCCCAGGGCACAGAAAAATAAAGGTATCAATAGAAAATAATAACTAATGAAGAGCTGTGTTTCCGACTTGCCCTGGTTAATCCTAGAGTCATTTGAAGCAGACACCAACTTTGGCCTCTCAGGTGACTGCTATTCTTTTAACAATTTGATGCATTGCTTCTTTCACTCTCCTAAAAATTTAAAAACCAGATGAGCAGCTTTACTCTAAAGAGCAAAGTAAGAGACCAGGATGAAGATGGACTGCAGATGAATCACAGAAAATGTTAACAGGGAACATGCTATGGTTAGCAGCTTTGGTCTGGAGTCTCAAGGAAGGCGTCTGAAAGAGCACGCAACAAGAGGTTCACGCAACTGTCTCAAAACCAGTTTCCAATCAAAGAGTGATTTTGCTGCTATGTGTCAGCAATAAAGCACACTTTACAAGACAAACCCTTCTCTACCTGTTCAGGAGCAAGTACTGACTCTGAAGCAGGACTGTTGGCAGTGCACACTCATGGATGTGCGTATGAGATTCCAGGACATTCTTGCGCAGCTTGACTCTGCAGTGCAAATGGAAATAAAGCCTTGTATTTAACATAGCTATTAACCTATAAACCTATATATATCCTATATAACAGCAGAAAGTTGATTTCAGTTATCTACTATTATGTTAAATTAACTCAGGGAAACTCCTAGGAATGCACATTTTATACACTTAATATTCACATATATTACATACTGGAGTTCACTACAACATGTCATTGGTTACCCTATTTTATGTCTGCCAACTGCTCTTTATCTTGAGGAAAATAACCTATTCAGGACTGTTTTCTGGGGTGATCTCAAAAAAATATCCTCATTAGATCCCACAGACAGCTTCTAGCTCAGCAAGAGATTGCCGTGCATTCTCTAACCAACTTGTGGAGAAAGGACTTTTACCTAAGGAAAGAAAGATTCCACATTACAATGGATTGGTTCAGCAGCACAGGAGATCTCCTTTTCATTGCAAGTGTGACAGCGAACAAAGAATAACCACAACTTAGCCCCATGGGAAGTTTTGAGGATTGAGGCAGTGGATGCCAGCGAAATGTGTCTCTTGGCTCTAAGCAGCAATTCAAGTAGGGATTAGTAACCCCAGATATCCATACATAGTCTGATATCTTCTATTAAATTAAAAACAATTCAATTCACCCATTCTGTAACAGTAGCACTTGAGCATAAAAAAGCCCAATGGAAATAGGCCATGTGTTTAGGTCAATGAGAGCCAGCCATGCCTGGAGCAGCTCAGAATCTCAGGCTGCATTAGGTTGCGTGTATAGGGCATTACTCTGTGATCATGACACAGTTAAAAGGTGGAGGCCTCGCAAATGAAGAAGGAATCATTATATACAAAGACTTACACAAAACCACACAAGGACTCAAGCCTCCAGCTGGGACAATGCTTTTTCATAGGCTAAAGGTTACTCTACTTCCACACTCAGAACTCAGTTTTGCTTTAGGTGTCTGTACTGTCTGTCCCTTATTACATACATACCCTCAGGTAGCACCTTAATCAAGCCCACTACCAACAAGACCAAAATCCTGTATTCAGTGCACGGGGGAAATGCCACTTCCAGTGATGAGGATGGCAGGCACACAATGGAGCACAGACTTCAGCCCAAGGAACGTTTTTCTCAGTAAATTTACCACAGGCAACTGCACAAGTTAACTCAAGCCCAAGAAAAATCTGTATCTTGGTGAAATCATTTGCTTTAGAGCGCACAGCCATGATGGAAGAAGCAGAGTTCCCAGTGAAATTGGTTCCCATAGTTAACATAGTCCTTGTGGTCAAACTTCTGAGCAACCCAAACTTCGTATGCTCTCCTTCACTTCCCCAATGGCAAATGATCCCTCTGGACAGCCATGTTCCATCCAATTCCTGCCTCCCTGATGTGAAATTTTAGTGGTCAATGACCAAGCCTATTAAAAATATGCAAAACTGTTAAATTAACTTTGTGCAAACCAAATACTGGCTTAAAGACTTATTTTTAGCTGGGTTGGTAACCCAAGAAAGAGGTATGCATTTGAACACAAGTCAAAAGCCTTTAAGAACTCCTATTAAGTGCTTCCAAGCCTGAGAGAAGCCAAATAATCACAATATATGCTAATGGTGCAGTTAGAAACAAACTTTATTGTTGCAGTTTGAAATTATTTACAGAATATATATCTCTTTGAAAGGTACATTACTTCATTTAATCAGTGGTAGAAGGCCTTACAATAGCTTCAATAACATTTAGTTCAAAAGAAATACAATTCACTCCAATGGATAAATGACGCATCTAAACTTCACAACATACAAGAAGGGTCATGGGGACTTTTGGGGTGATGACAGTGCTGGAAGATGACATACACTTACTTGTAAATTGAGCTAATTTAATTCACAGGACATAAATGGACTCATGTTTAGAAGAACACTGAAAAATATGCAGTAACAAAAGAATTGACACAAAAGAGATTATATCCCTAATATGCTATGGCCCTGCTTCTGCAAGTAAAGGGTTTTAGAAAGTTGGATCAAGAGGCTTGAGACAGAACCAATCGATCTAACTTTTAAGCCATATTTAAGAAAGATTTAATACATTCTTGGAGCTGAGACTATTCAAAGCACTTGTGTACAAAGCAGCATTATTAACTACCACAGACTGCATTTGAGATACGAAATGTTAAAAGGAATATTTCTACTAAAAAATGATAATCTTTCACACACTGGAGACATGACACCTACCATTTTCTGATAGCACTTAAAAATTACTACTACCAAAAGCTTAGAAACATAAGACTTTTTTCCAGTTCACGCTGCGTTTTATACAGTATTTTTCAGGTTTCTCTTCCATGGTATCTCTCACCTTGTGCTTTGCAGGGATCTTTGTGTAGGGAAAAAGACATTTAACATAGGAAAAATGCAGCTGCAATACCACAAAACTAGGCTGGTGCAGTACCTGAAATTATTTCTCATTTATGAAGCTACTTATTTTATGACGTTATTTCAGGATTTATTTTCAAAGTTTGGTAGATTTCAAACTTGTTTGCTTTCCAAGTGTTCGCTCAACTTATTTCCACCAAGTTCTCTCTGCATTACCTCTATAAACATCACATCAAACCCATTGGGAAGGCCATGAATTAATTTCCACATCACAGGAAACCTAAAACAGCAGCTCAGCAATTTCAGGCAGCTATAGAACCAGCTGATGTAAATATCTCAAACCAGAAGTTGAGTAATCTGGTGGAGTCTGGCACCTGTTCTAAGGTCATACTGGGCCTCAGGGCCATTCCAGTCAGTTTTCTGATGTTTCACAATAAACCCCTTTATCAGTGACAGTGGTGCAGACCACCACCAATGTAGAGAAAAAGCCCAACACACACTTAAGGGTTGCAAGTTAACTACATAAGAGTTTGGGGGTTTTAAATAATCTTTTGGAACATTTCTTCCCTCTCCTCACAGGTTGACTTGTTTCCTAATCACAGAACTTACCTCTATAGGTCAGATGAAACTGAAAGAGTCACTTAGAAATATACAAGGCTTTTCCTAGTGTCTCATCCCATCACTTAGATGGAGCACCTCCATGCAATTGGCATGTACAAACACTCTGGAGGTCTGTAAGCCACAAAGTTTGGTTCCATCCAACATGTCCCATATAGATTTGTGTGGTTTCTCACTGCCAAGAGCCTCCTTCTTAAAAGTTGTGTGGCTGGCTAACAGAAATCCTATTGTGTACTAGATCACAGGTTTTTGGCTTTTTGTATCTTTCACAACTCATGAAGGCAACTGGCTTCCAGCCTATGGAAATAAAATGGGCAGCAGGGGGAAGGTGTAAGTATCAGCTGCAAGTCTGCTTAGCACCAGCCTTGCATTACCTCAAGGTCTGATCAAATACTTCTGTTCTACTACAGTTACAACCTGCATGGTGTGGAAGAGATGACAGGAGACAGTAGCTAATTCCAGTGGTTTAGTAATCTAGCATACCTCAGAAGGCATCCAAGAACACAGCAAACAATACAAAACCATGGAGACAAATCAAGACTAGACAGCCACCTCAAACACAGAGAGGTGAGATGCGGCAAACAAACCTCCTCTGCAAATTGCAAGAAGGACTATCTCAAGCAAGAGATTACATTCCATCGGGTTATGGAGCAAGCTTACTTAATCAGTGTTATCAAAATCGAAAACTTCTTTTGGGGAGGAGTAACAACAGAGTATTCTGTAAGCTTCTGTTAGATACCAAAGGCTTTAAAAAAATCTGAACTCCATTTTGAAACAAACATTACCCTTTGCAATTTGCTCTCATCCGTAAACCATGCAAGCAAATAAGCATATCTAATACCTTGCTACATCAAAAATTTAAGCTAACAAAGAAGGGCATAGGCACAGGGAGGAGGGGGAAGGAGTAGCACACAGGGAAAATATCTCAGTTACGTTTCAGTCTGAAAGGGCTACCAATAAGCCAAGTGTGGAAGAAAATAGGGCAGAACTATTTTTGTGATTCGGGCATTTACCATGAACATTTACAAGTTAACAACTAACCCTATTATAAGGCTATAGCCACCAAAAATCTTAAGTTGGGGAACTTCTATCACAACTAACTCAATTGCTGTCACCATGGGAGCGCACTCAATTCAACGTGCTCATATGTTTAGAAGTCACCAGCATTCAAGAATGTATAGGAAATTTTTGGAAGTTTAACATATTTAACAGCTTTCCCCACACCACAGGTACTACACAGACCTCTGACATATAGTTTGCCCATTAGAACAGTCTTTCTCTTAGTACTGCATGAATTCCTTTATTCCCAGAATCGTTCCCAAGAGCAAGATGACAAAAAAGCTAACGGGAGAAAAAAAAAAAGACATTGGATGCCCAAGGCTGTAAATGGATACCTGAACATAAAACTATTATGCTCTCTTACAGGTCAATTTAACAAGAGTTTGCACACAGATTTCTTCTTTACATCAGAATTTCTACAAAATAGGAGAGAATACAATGCAATACCCATGTCCATAAATGCAAGATACAGTACAATTCACACTAATTTACAAATGGTTATTTACACTGTTGTATATACATATACAGTCAGACCTGGTTAATGCAAATTTTTGTAAGTCCTTTTAAAATACAAATCAGGAAATGTCAATGAAGGAATTCAAAGTTATGTGACAAGAGACCAGTTATCATTCAGAAATCTTTAATGCTTTGATGACCTAAGAAATTAGCTGTGGATTAGCCAGATCTGACTGCAGAAATGAGAAGAAAAAAATTCACACTATTCTGCTTTACAAAAGCAACCAGGCCACTATGGTCTATTGACTTGATGCTATTTATGCAAGAATGCCCTTACTAATAACCCCCTTCATATTTACAATATAGGTTTAACCACAGTAAGGATTATTAGTTTTGGCATTAATGCCCTTAGCTTAACATAAAGGCAACAGAGTATCTTCTTGGCAAGTCACAGTCAAAACTACTACAGGATGTTTCTAGAGCTCAGTGATTTAAGTATCTTAACATTGCTATTGAAGAGACAGAGATAAATTAACTGAAACAAGTACATATTCTCTAGTTCGGTGCTCTAGTACCTAAACTTACATTCAGAATGTCCTGTATTCACAGTTTCAAGCTACCTTATGATCTGCAATGCTATTGGGAACTACTGCTTTAAACTTAACACGTCTCGGAGATATCCCTTAACAAGTTAGAATACCCGAGTGCTACTGGCTCAAACTGATGTGGAAAAAGGCTCAAGGTAACCGGCATTTCATGTTGTAAAATGTTTTACAGTATTTCCTTAGAACTTAACAGGAATTGTTTTAATCTGCACTTGTCTTGAAAGAAAGCTGATGCAAAGCAGCATTTCAGTGTGTAAAATTAATTTCAACATGCAAAATGAAAGTTTCTACCAGTACTGCAAAGTCAACCACTGTGACCTGTGATAACCCTTGTGCTTCTTTGAAGTGGCTCAGGAAAAGCTTGCAGTATTTACCTGCTTCAAAGTGCTTTTATGAGATTCAGTGGAAATTTGTTCCACAAGGAGACTGAGCTGCACTCATGAGGAACTTTAGCTCTGCAGAAGCAAGCTTCCACTCCTACAGTTATTGCTACTTGAGCTATACAAATAAAAATACTATTGAAAAGAATTACACTAACTCCCAACTAAAATAGTACTGGTACCTAAAAAGGGAGTGTGCTCTGCTAACTGTTGGGAAAGTTAGGAGCTGTCAAGTGCTGGGTTTCCCAGGACCAAGTCAACTTCACAGCCTTTTTCAAATATTTCACAAATACAAAGCAACACTGCCAGAAATAAAGCCACCACTTGAAGAAAATAGGAGGAGTTTAAATATCTTTATCAATCTTACTTCCAAAGCAGATCTTGCTGAACTCAAAGAAACTACCAAGACAGCAGGGTATTACCCAACATACATCAATAATATCAACAGGAAGAAAGTACAGAAAATTAAAGTTTTCAGTGCCTTCATGAGCTCTAGCAACATCCTTGAAAACTGCTACAAAGGAAACTCTGTCCATTTTAGTTATTTGTTTCTATTTAACTACCAAGAAAATGTATCCAATATAGTAGCCTCCAGCTAATAACTGCTACTGAAAAAGGTTACAGAATTTCAAGTTACAAAAAAAGAAAAAAAAAAAAAATCCCACTTCTCCCACTGGTATTGGGTTTTTTTAAGGTTTTGAGTGAAGGAAATTAAAAAAAAATAAAGAAAAATTTAGAGATTAATATAAACAAGAAGAATAAGAAAGTACCAAACTTTGCTTTTGTAAAATAACAGAATGCCATTCAAAATGGTCTTTCAAGGTGAAAATTTTTCATTCACATCAATTTTTTGTCCTGAATCAATCCAACCTTTTGCAAAGCACATATGCATATATATGCGTACATACAGATACACATATACACACATACACACACAGCAGTGTGCCATAAAGCAGTTTGGAATAAATATCTTTGCTGGGGTCTGTACAACAGACTCCCCACAATATTTACTCTTCAGGTAAGTTTGTGTTTGCACCTGCATATGCAGACACACAGACTTTGTACATGTGGGCACTTATGTGACCAAAGTGCAAAGCTTTTCAGAGTATAATTACAGTTGAGTACATGCCTGCCCAACTCCACACTGCCTTGTTGGGTTCTATTTTTCTGTTCTGGGTTTCTTACCCTGCCTGCCCACCCCCCTTTCCAAATTTAAAGCCTCTTTTCCATGCAAACTTATACATTGTTTTGTTAAGTAAACATTTTCTTTTCCATTCACACTTTGCAATCCAGACCATTCTTGGTATAATAGCTTTAAGAAATAAAGAAAATCCATGATGATCAAAGCCCCATTGTTCAAGTCATGAACTTTTCCAGATTATCCCTCAAAGCTGGAGACTTCGAAAGTAATTTGCTGCCACAGGAAACAAAAAAAAAAACCAAACAAAACAACAATAAAAAAGAAACCCCCAAAATACCAGAATCTGCAATTACAGGACCAAGTATTTAAGACTAGAATCCAAGGTTAGAAGGCGACAAAGCAAAAAGATGTCAGCAATACACAACTGTAAACCTAAGTGTCTTGCTCCCCAGTGCAACAGGATCTCTGTTCACTAGTCTTCAGTTCAATAGCCCATTCTGGTAGATACTGCTGAAGAACATCAAATACAGACAGCAGAATAGCGTTCAAATTTAGAATCAAGTTTCAAAAATGCGATAGGTTTGGGATAGTGGTCTTTTGCTTTAAAAGTACACTTAATAAACAAGCAGCTTTCCCACAGAAGTCAGAGACAGTACATTGTCCATCTACCACTATGATGGTACATACCCTCAAAAGAATCTTACTGCCACAGAACTTTCACGTTTCTACAGCTTAGAAGAAAAAAGAAAATAAAAAAACCCAAATGTTATTTATCATTTCAGCAAACTCATTAATTCTATACAAAGGAAAAGCACCATCATATGGAAAGCTGCTTTTCTTAAGGGGAAAAAAAGAAAAAAAAAAGGGGACAAAAAAAATGATTCTCACTTTTCTCCCTAGTTACACCACAGTGGTAATCTCAAGTCTATCATCACTCATGTTGCCTGTACACATCTAAAAGGTTAATATTCTCTGACCATGTTTTCTTTAATGTAAGTTAACACAACTTCAATAAAAGTTGTTAGACGAATCCTTTGGAACAACTTCACTGTCTGCACCCAACTCTTACAAAAAAACCTGATGAAAGCAGCAATGGAATCATGTTAAACTTATAATAAATAATTCACATACAACATGTTAAATTACAAAGAAGGATTAAATTGCCATTTCTACAACTTTTCATAGATTTAGCAAGTTTCTAATCCATTTTATATCAACAGCAGTACGCATGTTCTTCATATTAAATTTAACATTGAAGGACTGTTTAGAGGCATTATTTATAAAGCAAAAACCACCAAGTGAGCATTAACAGAACTTCAACAAATGTTTAGCTTTTTTTCCAGTATCTGTTCTTAGAAAATATTCAGGGGTTCTCTATCCACTTGGTAAGTTTCTTCCTCTTCATTATTCAGGAAGAGTTAATGTCATGACCTCCAGCTTCATTTTGAAATACTGGTTAAAGCGAACAATCGCATACCTATTTAAAGGAAAAGAGACTGAAGTTAAGAGCAGGTAACTCCTTACATGAAAACAGCCATGATAGATAGGACTAGTCAGAAGTCCACCTACTACCCAGTACCCTGTTTCCAACATTGACCTGTAGCAGCTGCCAAAGGAAGAAATTAAGAACACAGCAACCATATTATGGTATTTCCTCACCACCATCCCTCGGTCCACCTTGCTGCAGCTTGCAAAACTGATGCTGTGCCAGGGTTATCGAAGGTAGTGCTTTCCCATTTAATAGTTCTTAATAGACTGTTCAACAACTGACAACTGCAATTCCAGATAATTCTGATGTTGATTATTGCAAAAAATGACTTTAAACTGACAAGCTTTTGGGCTTTACCACCTCTGCTTTAGCTTGGGTTGTTTTGCCATCTAGCGGTGACAAGTACTTCTACTTGAGAATAACTGATCACAAGAACAAATTCACATTTGCCCCAATTACAAAATAGCACAACTAAGCCTAATAAACTGGGTTAGTCAGTGCAAAAAATTTTGAAGTGGGATCTCATACCAAGCTAAATCATTTATTTTATCACCTTGCCCAGGCCTCAGTAGAGAGATGAATCCCTCTGCTTGTGGTCATGAAAGACCATTTAAAAAAATGCCCAAGACACACATTTACCTAGTGGCTAACACCATTAACCAGCATCTCAGGAAATAAAACTTCACATTCATTGGCATTATAAAGACTCTTTAAAAAAAATACAGAATTTCCAAGATCAACATTCCAGAAAATAAGAAGTAGACAGACCAACAGTTTTGTACAAGAGGCCCGTTTCCTGATTCTTGCAGTAGGAGACGTAGGTCTTGTGTCTGCCATAGGACAGTGCACTGACCACTTTGCTTTTACACTTTTGTCTGTCCAACAAATAATGCTCAGTGCCCAAAATCATTTGCTCCTCCAGTATGTCCCTTGCCTTGCTACACCATGTGTTGTAGCTCAGGGGCAAATACTAATTTAGAGAACTTTCTGTGGCAAAAAGCACAGCTAGCTTTTACTGTCTTGTTTTCTCTTAATTTTTAAGAGCTATAGTAAGTACAGTCACATTGATCAAGTCTGTTGCTCAGACCTTATAGCTTCTGGTAGCTGGAGTGCTGGACTAGGTAGCTCCACACATGCCTCCCAGCCTCAAGTATTCTATGATTATATGTAGTAAGCACACTTACCCTAGAAAATCAAAGTCAATGGTGGAATATTTGGCTTGAATTAAAGCCCACAGACCCCAAAAGAAGTGGGAAGCCTGAAATAAAAAAATATTTGTGAAAGATGTTATTAAAATCCAACATGTAAGCATATTCTCACATTGAAAGAAAGTTATCTATAAAAGAAGTCTCAAAACCCAATCTTTTTCTAAAGTTATTTGAAACTTCTGGATCAAAGAGATTGGCAAAGTATTACAGAAATAATTATGGGCAATTGGAGGAATAAGTCCATTGGCCTCCTGACTCTCCATGTATCATTTTCAGGAAAAATAATTGATAACTTATTTCATAAATTCAACATTAAGTAGGCTATTGTACAATTATATACACTACATTAGAAAAAACACAGAAATACAGCTATCATTTCTGCTGCTTCTATTTAAGTATACATTATTTGCCATGTATTCAGCTCTAGTGAGAATATGAAATTCCTTTTGAATCTTTGATTACAACCCTTAGGTCATTATAACTACAACTCGCTTTCACTACTGACTTAGACAAAGAGATATGATCTGTAGCTGTGTAAGAGGGCTTCTGACTCATCAGCATTTACATCATACATTTCTCATCTGTTCCAAACTTGCTTCCATTATGAGTGCAGATAAGTAGCCTGGAGGCCTATGCTCACTTTCAGATTGAAGATATAAATTACATTAATATGTTTGTTAGTATACTTCAGATGAATAAATACACACAATGGCTTGATAGTCTCCTTGTGGGAGACATTACTGGACCACCCAGGTTACAAATTATTACTTCAGACTTCTGTTCAGTAAACAGCTGCTTACAGCAATTACCTAAATTGCTTCCTGAAGCTTGCATGTTAACACTTTACCGGAAGTGTAGAAAACACATGTATGCACACACACCTGGAAACACCTTGAAATATCAACTACTGTATGTACATGTGAATCTATCCTGTACCTCTAGAGAGCTTCATCTGACAGCAAGCAGTTTGGCATCTTACACCAGCATCCATTCACTCTGAGTTTTCTCTTAACAGAGTTTCCCACATTAACTGACACAAGAGTATTTGGCAGTATTTGCGCATCATGTGTGGCCCAAAGGCAGGTCTTTAACTGTTTTCTAAACACAACTTTATCCTCTTAAACAGTAGTGTGACCATAGTTCAAAACTGACAAAACAATGCTATATATTTTTAAACAGACCACCAACCTACTTAATAGCATATCTAACTCTCCTAAATGAATGGGACAGCTGAATTCAACAGTAATAGTTGATATTTGTAAAGAATAACAGCAAACAATTATTTTTAAGGACTTGTTTAATAATCATCTTCCTGGAACATGAACTGCATTTCCTCACTGCAACCATTAGTTTTTACCAGAAAACTAAAGGTAATACAGAAGCAACTGTGTGCCTGGACTAATTAGAGGACTGAAATAAGGACAAACTAGCTTCTTAGCCCTAGTCCTCCTGTGAATAGTTTGGCATGTTATTCTTCAGGAGAAAAAGCGATCTAGCTATTGGGCAACTGTAACATTTCCCATTACATCCTCCCGGCAAAATAAGATCAAGGCTAGATGGAAAACAAGAAAAATAATGTGAACCTCTAAACTATCTTCAGAATCCACAAAGATGAAAATTGGAAAAAAAATTAAACAAAAGACTGCTTCTAAGAATATACATAATTGGGACATTCAAAGACCCAGTGCTACGCCTATTTGACTTCTGGGGAACTGCAGAAGCACTTTGCTACAATTTAAATCAGTAAGGTGACCAAAACCAAATCTGAAAGCAACTCCCTGCTTGCCAAGACACTGCAGGCAAGTGAAGTTATGGCAGTACTGAAAGATTTTAGAGTGATACAGTTATCTGTATTTAAAACGGAAAATACAGTTAAACCACAATATATCCTAGTTTAACAAAATTTTATTTTAAAAAGGCTTTTTAAAGTTGGAAGATTTATAGGACTTTATAGCACTACCTTGATCTGTCAAGAAAAAAGGTCGTAAGCTCTAGCCAACTCAGGGAACTTGCCAGACCAATAGCCAGCCAATGGAAATACTCAATAAAAGCCCATCTTCTCATTTTCTGAATGCTCACTGGCTCTTTCACTAGGAATGTTCTACAGAGAAGTTTTAACAAACATAGTAGAAACTCCCCATAGAATAGGCTAAGGAAGCTTTTCCTTTACATGATACAGCACTCAGAATAAAAAACTGGAAATTACATTTCCTCATAGAACAGCAGCCTTCTCTATAGTATTAAATATATTCTAATCAAGTGTTTGTTACTTACCAGTGCAAACTGATTGACTTGGACATACAGAACTTCAACTTCTTTTTCACTGACTTCTGTGCCAAACCCTTTATATTCTTTGTAGGCCTCAAGGTAAGATCTGAGCCATTGTTCCTGTAATTTTCTGTTAGGATAAAGGCTGTAGTCTACCTCATTTACCCCTAGAGAAAGAAAAAATACCTATTAGAACCTTATGGTATCTCAGTAATGAGATTACAATCACATTACTGGACTACTTCCTCCTTCCCCATCCCCAACACACACAGATTGATATGGATAAGCATAAATAATTCTACTTTGATCTATCAGTTACATGTTGGCAAGAATTTCTCACACACAAAATGAGAGCATACAACATAGCAGAAAGATTTGCTCTGTATATGTTTCCAGCCACATATGTAGTCTACTTCTGTTTGGAGATTCTTTAGAGAGAAGCCTCAACAGAAAGTATTTGCATTATGAAACAAAAGGCATCCCAAAAATATCAGATAACTTATATTTCATAGGAAAAGGGATTTGCATGCAACAATACCCAAGGCTGAATCCAGATGTATATACACTGTCACCAACTAGGCTCATATTTGAGAAAAATATATTACATGTCTACCTCTCCTGCACAAACTACTAGTGTAATTACAAGTTTTATCTCCATAACCACTCCTTCTGTCCTATTTTTCTTCCTATACTAAAGACGGTCACAGATCATACAGAGTCTTGCCACAAGTCAAACCTGGGTCACAGTCCACTCCCACTAGCTATGACTCCTAAAGCATGTGAAATTCTTCTTAAGTCTTACTTTTATGAAGAGTGCAATTCCCTCATATCTAAACTCTTTACTGCATCAGATCCACTTAAATTTAGCTTTAAAAAAAATAATCTGATTTTTACTGGATGCATAGAGAGTAGCAGAGGTGAAGCACAACTGTTCTTCATAGGCAAAGAAGACACCACATGAGCCTGCCATTTGCAGCTGTGGAGCCACGCAGTATATTCTCAATATACACTACTGCAAGGGATGCATTCACAGTATTTCATTACAGCAGGCTGTCTCTGCTGTGTCATTTCACAGAAGGATATTGTCAAAGCTGTGAGTTCTGTATCTATTAAATAAACTTAGGACATGATATTCCTTTTTCTAGCTTAGTAGAGCTGCAAAGGGCATAACTGGCCTGCAAGATGAGATATTAACACATCTTGATACCATCATGTATCTAGATAGAGCAAAAGCGAATGTGCAAGCATTACGGTTTGTTGGTGGGGTTTCTGTTTGGGTTTTATTCCGGTTCTTGTTTTGTTTATTGTTTCACTGGGGTTTTTTTGTTTGGTTTTGGATACTTTTTTTTTAATGAAACCAGTTTACCTTTACCTCAGAAATCCACTTTTACCTGCAAATTCGTTGAAGTGATTTCCAATGTCATAAGCCAGGTAGTTGTATCCAGAGTACTCATAGTCTATGAACTGCACATCACCTACGTGAGACACAACAGCAGCAACATCAGGGTCCACATCAAATGAAGTCATAGCCCTAATCCTTTGGTGTCCTTTGAAGTTTTGCAGAAAAACAGAACACACCCATATTTGTGCCCAGTTGTGTGCACTGAGACATTTCAGGGTAAGGCTGTGATTTTTATATTACAATTCCCATGAATATTCATTCAAGAAAGCTCTTAAATGATTACTTAGAGCTTATAGTTCTGTTTCTTAACTCTGAATAGCAGAGTTTCAATTTTAACTTCTACCACATGAGGGCATCCTCTACCTTTAAAATAAGAAATACAGTAGAGGATCTTCTATTTAAACTTTATGTAGAAATAGCAGATCAATTTTTCCCTGACTTAAAAGACTAGTCCTGTTTATTCTCACAAAAGTGTGTAACCACAGTAGACTAACACATTGCACCGTGTTTATATTTCTTGCTTTCCCCAGCCACACTTACAAAGCATGACTATTCTTAATCATTGCTTTTTTTAGCTGACTTAAACTACTCTGAAGAAACCATCAGGCTCCTCAAGTCCTCGAAACTATGAAACTATGTACTCCTATGTAAACAAGGGCTGTTAACGCAGCAAACAGCCCCAAAGGTTCCCAAATTAAGTTTACCTGTAGTGAAGCTGAGGAAAATGCTTCACTCAAGGTAACAGCATTGAAGCTGCTCAAGAACATTTACAAAACATGAAGCAGTCGAAGCATTAACAAGATAAATTAGGTAAAACTAAAGCTCTTTTATTTGAAAGGAAACCAACAAAATTATTAAAAACATCAGAAAAGGAAGGAATGAGTTAACATAAGAGCTCTTTGCATCAGAACATTAAAATGTAAAACCTTACATTTCCAACTGCTATGCTGAAATGGGCAATTTTTACAGTTGCACTTTTCTCCCTGTCTGTACCCATTCTTTTGACATCTACCTGCATATTTACTCAATAAAGCCATATTCCTCATATCACAATGAACAATCTTGGCATGACTTAAAAAAAATGACAACTTTCAGAATTCCAGGTCAAAAAAAAAAAAAAGTGTAACGTTAACATGTTTCCTAGACTAAGAATTCTAAGCATCTAATATACTGCCATCTCCTTAAGGTTTATGGGTATCACACATATCAAATACCGGTTTTGCCAAATAAATGTCCTGACCGAGTTATCACAGAACAACTTTGTTAAAAGTGTTCCTTCCTACACAGCTCATCTTTACCGCATTTGAAATACTAACACACTAATGTTTTCCAGATGGATAAAACTTCTCATTTGAGTACTTATAATGGAAGTGAAACCCCACAACACACACCAAAAAAAAAAAAAAATCACTTAATCACAATCCTCCCAAGTCAGAGTTTACCCTTACTCACACAGTAAAGGAGGACTGCTTACTAAAGGTTATGAGGTTAAACCTTTTAGGCTCTAACAAGCCAACATGAAAGAGGCCTGAAAAGTGGCAAGCTCCTCCCAGAGAAATCTTTTTGGCAATGGAAAATTCAGGTTTTCCGAAACTGAAGGGACAAGAAATTTTACAGCAGCTGCAAGAAGATCTTAGAATAATGCTGCAGCTTAACTTCTGCCATTGCTTGACATCCATATGCTTATGCTTCTCAGTGGTTCTTCAGCACTACTTTTAAGAAGAAACTCCTGTAAGCTACAAGCAAGTCAAAATATAAAGCCCAACCCTGATCAATATTCTGCTACTCTACTGATCTCCTGAACCCCCAAATATTTTATGTTGATTGTATTTACAGGGGGTTTTTTTCTTGCTCCCTCACACAAAATACAAACACAAGTAAAAGTCTACTTGAAAAATATCAACGCAAGAAAAACTTCAATATTTCATGCGCAAATTTCACCCTGAACATACTTATGTGCTATTTTTAGGTACAGATAACATTTAAAACTTACTTCCAGATATAAATGGTATTACATACAGGTGATGTTGTTACTAGGCACTCTCCTATGGAGAAATAAATGCTTGTGAAAAAGTGATAGGATAAGCCTTCAGTCAGTGCACAAGTAGCACAGTGCATGGCTCCACAAGGCAGTAACGGTGGCATGACTAATCTGTAGCAGATGAAGAAAATCTGGCAAACTCATTTGACATGACAAAAGTTCAGTGAAAAGTCCTGCATTTTTACTGTTCTCTTTTAGACTTGTGCTACTGTGGAACTCAAACTTACATTTAATTTTCACATGAAGGCTCAAAATAATAAAAAACAACACAGTTCTATCTGTGAAATAAAGCAAAAACTTTAGAATTTCCTACTTTATAATATGAAGTTTACTTCATAAAAGCATAATGCATACATGCCCCAGCTATCTTGTTTTAGAAGCAGAAGCAGCTTCACATTGTTTAAACATCCAGGGTATTAGAAGTTATTTTTAAGACTTAACAGTTAAAAGATTAAACTGTGATTTAAGATACAAGATTTAACATAGAAAAGCCACTCCTAAAAGATATGGCTTAGATTAGCAGTTAAATAGCTAGCTTTTGTTTTGAGGTTTCCATTAAGTACACAGAACTTGTACATCCCACTGTATCACTGGAAGCACACAGACCAACAAGAGACACTATTCTGAGTGCATTTGTGTTTTATTGAAGTGAGATATGATTTAAAACTGAGCTCTATTATCTCTCTGAAGAAACTACTGTTATCAGTAGGACTAGAGATAGCAAGAGTATTGAGTATTTCAAGTTGAAACATGTTCCTTTCTTCCAGAGGTCTCCTAGTGTAGGCAACATGCAATGTAATCTACAAAAACCATGTAAAGATACAAAATGGAATACATGTGTCCCATATACCCTAAATTAGTTTTTTAAACAGATCAAGTAGCAGCCAATAGCACATCTGCCTAATGATCTCAGGAATCTGAAAGGTAAGAGAATAATGACACCTTCTGGCTGCTCTTCACTTTCAGTGATTTAAACAAGATAAACACTTTCAATGTGCAAGTCCTAGCTGTAGTTACCACAGCAGAACGACGTATCCTGAGTTCTCTCCCATCCTGTTCATCAGGTGAGCCACTGGGGCCCTAGAAAACAGCTTCAGTAAAGACAATGATCTACGCTATGAACACATGTGAAAATTCATAAAGGGGTCACGCAACCAAAGAATAATTTTAGGTCTAAATACCCACTTTAGCTTTGCAAAACAAAACAGGTTTTTAGATCAAAACCAGAAGCCTTAAACATACCTCAGTCTTCAGAAGCACTGAGCACCCACAGACTCCTACCAAAGATCATAGAAAACATTGGGTAGGCAGAGGGAATAAACATAACAAAACTAGCCATCTACCTTCACACTTAACTTCCTGGCAGATGATTTTAATACATTCAAAAAGAGCACATACATAGACAAAAACTCTGACACTTGGTCTTACTGAATAGCAAATATTTGAATACTCTTAAAACAGCAGATATTTCTGTAAACTCTCAGGTCACACTGGAAAAAAAATAACCCAAACTTTAAGAGCATCAGAACATATGATCTATAAATAAGCAGTACCAAGCACCAAGCATATTTTGACTATCTCAGTGTCTCAATTGTCATTAAAACCAACACAAATCTCCAAGTTATAGCCTTCAAAGAGTAGGTAATTATGAGTTACGTAAATTAACACTCACAAACTTTCATATCCTGAGTGACTGAAAACAGACATTAACAAAACAGCAAGACACATTTCTCAGCCACAGCATGAACAAATTGGAATCAGATGAGTGAAACTCCACAAAATGAAGCTAGCACTCAATGTGCTATTCCAGTCTCATAAATAAAATTTAAGAGCCTGATACTGATTCTTCTTAAAAAGAGTATGTGGCACAACTATGATTTTTCTTTCAAGTCTGAAAACTTAAAGACTAATTTAGTGCAGAGAACAAGTCTAAAGCAAAGCACTGGGACAAGCCATCATTCTAACTACATTGCACAGGAATGTTAGTATCTGTTGATAGTCTGTAGCTTAGCCACACGCACACACTCCCCTCAGTAAATGTTCAAATTAAGCATTCACAAACATGGTAAATACAGTGTTCCTAAAATCAATAAATGAGTTATTTTGTTTGTGCCAGCTTCTGAGAAGCCAGATGAGCACTACCAGCTTTGCATGAACTTTACTGAGAAGAAAAAGAAAAAAGTAGTTAATCTTACAAAGACCATGTCTCTTTTAATTCCATTTTTAGGGTCATCAAGGTCTTTTTAATACACAGAAGCCTTTGTTAGATGGGAGAACAAATTTAGCAAGAGTACAGTATCACCAAAACCTTAACACAGTTTGATGCCATTCCTAATGAAGTGCATCTTTTAAAGATTCTATTTTGTGCTCTTGCAAAATTATTTGCATACAAATAAAACCTTTTGCTCTGCTATACAGAATTCCAGCAATACATTTACTTACAGCTTCTACTTCTAAAATTCATGCTCCGAGATTGATACATTTTTTTGCTCTGTAACAAGTACACTATTAAGAAACAGCTTTCAAATGAAAAGTATTCTTTCTACATATGGCATTGAGGTTTGGTTACTATGAAAACAAAACCTGCTGCACCCAGACCACAGAAGTTTTACAACACAGTATACTTGAACATTCAAACATAAGTTTGATATATTTGTTTCACATTTTCAAGTCCCCCCCCCCAAACTGTTTATAACCAGCTTGAAGCCAAAGCAGTTTACATACCTCCCTCCTCCCCACCCTGCCCCCAAACACTAAGCACTCACACACTTGTTATTGTAGGATTGCTCATAAGTGATGCGCTGCTGGCATTGGTTTTTTTTTTTTTCCTTCATTCTGTTTACAAAAAGAAAAGCATATAGCATTTTTTTTTTAAAGTAAGAGCTTCAAACCTACTGATCACAATGTGAACCTTTTAAAGAGTTCCTCCTTTTTTTTTTTTTTTTTTGCAGCATAGTTTTACTATGAAAAATTACTATAAAAAATTACTTTTATCTCATTGGGTCTGTTCTGGAATGCAAAAACTCAAGGTAGTTTCAGTACTGAAAAAAAAAAAAAACCACAGAGTAAAAAAGGCACAGAACAAACAAACAAAAAAAAGCCAACCATTTTTGGTACTGCAAAATCACAATTCCAATGTCTGCAAGACCACAAATTGATGGGGTTTTTGCCTTCCATGTCTCCCCTACCTATTTAAGCAGAACTATAACCCATCACCGAAATTAAGTAAACCCACTGAAGTTTGGTACTGAAGTCTCAGAATTTAAAATTTATGTTAGGAGCATTGTATATGCTTGGTTTATGTTAATGCATTGTATATATACACACATGTATGCATACACCTATAAACTAGAAGCTCTAAGAATTCCCTCCACAAGTGGTATTACATAGAGGGAAACTTGTATTCAAACCACTGAGTTTATTTTCTCAATTCACATGCATTCAGTGCTATCTGATGCAGAAACTGGTTATACATACACAGCCAGTTTTCACACTAGAAACAACTCCAGCATATTTTCATTGGTTTGTATTCAGAACTTAAGGTGCATAAGCTTAACATGTCAAAGACCAGCAATGACTGATAGAGAAAGCTTCAGTTCCATTCATTTACTTCATGCACTTCAGTCTTCCATACCACCAATTTTACTAAACTAATATGAAGCTACTAGAAGGAATTTACAGAAACTAATATGAAGCTACTAGAAGGAATGGCATCCCCACTTTAAAATAAAATCTTGATCTAATTTGTTAAATTTGTTGTACTCAGCGGAGCTCAGGTATTTGAAATAGGAGGAAAGTTGTGCATTTTAACTGCACAATGGCCATTTTAGTATCACAAGTTTGCCTTTAATCAATTCATTTAGTAACCGAACCTCAAACCACTAAAAGAAATAAAAGAAACCATGTTTATACAGAAATTTCATAAATCATAATGAAAGCAATTTTTAATAACATGAATTATGAGTTACGTTTATTAGAATAAAAACAAAAGTAATTTATCTTTGCCAAGACATGTATTGCCTACCACTATTCAAATAGAGTATGTAATTACAAAAGAAATCTTTTAAGATGCCTATGTTCCTTATGCAAAAAATAATGCTACATTCAGTGACACAGCTTAAGTATCACTAAGATACTTCATTATGAAACTGTCTTCCCACAATCACAAACCAGAACAATACACGTATTAAAGGAGATAAGGTCTTCAAGGCTACTTTCTATGCTGGTATGATTATTCTTTTTCTTCCTAAAAACACTACACAACTGGAATCAAATTAACATGAACATTATGTACTCTGAAGTCAAGTCAGACAGGCAGATTAGGTATTAATAAATTAATTGATTAAAGAAAAGGAATGCTGACATTCTTCCTCTGTACAGAACATACAGATGAGAATTAGTTAATTAAGCATTTGCAAAGATACCACTACCATCATACTGGGTCTCAAAAGCTCAAACTGAGTTCATTTGAACAAGTGAGTAAAACACCACTGATGTAGCAAATACAACTACAGCATAAACACAGCCATTCACTACTTACTGTTTAGTTCAACACCTACCTCTTTTCTTGTTGTAAATAATATTCTTACACAACAGGTCATTGTGACAGAGTACCACTGGTGATCCCAAATTTGACAGTCTTTCCTTCATCCATGCCATCTCTTCCTGAAGAACTTGAGGACTTGGAACGTCACTTAGAAACCTTTTCAAGGTATAAGAAGTTTGAGACTTAGTATTTCTCACAGTTGTTCCACACCAAGCATTTGTAATGAAATAAATTACCTGCAACAACAGTCTAGATGAAAGTAGTTCAATATACCTTCTCTGAAACCAAGGCACTCTTGCCCCTGGCAGAACAGCAGTCAAATGATCATTTCCCCCTTCCTCCCACCAAAAGCCCTAACTCTCTGAAAATTCTGTGCTGCAAACATGACAAAAAGTCAGGAGTACAACCTGAATACAATCCTGCGCATTTTAAAGGATCAAAGATTAAAGAGGTTACGGCATGGACTTTATTAGCTTTTTTGTTCACATTACTTCCTTCAACAAGAATACACAACAGGAAGTACTATATGTATTTATACAGAGGAAATAAAACTTTCATTTTTTGTTCTAATCATAGAACTATTGGAATATGATTAAATAGCCACTTTATCTTCTAGATTTTTCAGTTAACTGAAGTTTTCAGTTTTCTTAAGAGAAAAACCAAAAAAAACAAAAAACCCACAACTCTGTTAGAGCATTCTTTAATTACAGTGCAGAACTGAGCACTAAGAGAAGCCGACATCAGATTTCCAGTTTCACAAAGAAAGTTTTTAAGCTAGAATCTGCTTCCTGAGTGACATGAAGTTTAATGAAGTGTACAGACACTTCCACATTACAGTTCTAGCTTAAACACATGAGCTCCGCTCCCAGAGAAACACTTGTCTCCAAATCAAGTTTACAGCACAGAAATTTTATTTAGGTTAAACATGGCTCCTAGTTTTGCCATTCCTCTGATCCCAATCTTCCACTGACTGAGACTAGAACCCTTAGAAATACTTAATTTTGTTAAGTTCCTAAGGAAAAAAAATAAAAAGTTTTATTTACAACTCAAGAGTTACACTGGATGCTAAAACCAAAATGTAATTAAACTCTTAAACTCGGATGACAAAATTATTCACGCTCCATGAGAACATGCATTTAGAATGATCTTTTCCTCCTCTGGAACAGAGTCTGGAAGGTGAAAAAAGCCTTTCATTAACTTTACTTTTACATCACCATGTTCTGAACAAATTCCTAAACTAAACAAATACAGGCCGGCTAAGAGGCACAGGTTAGAAGGGGCAAGTAGTACTACTGCAACTCCAGGAAACACGATTTTGGTATTTACCACAGAACACAGGTCTCAATTTGAGACTAATGGCTCTCAAACACTGTTGAGACAACTGACTGAACTAGTATAAGATTTGACATTGGCTCTTTAAAAAGAATAAAGAAAACTACCATCATTTAAGTGTCCAATCAAGCCAAGAGCTATCTGTATAGATTCACAATAAACAAGTTAAAGACTCTCCTTATCTGACATACATATATAGTGACTTCAGTAGACAAGAATATGACAAAACTCAACATTTGACAGAGTTAAGTGGTTTGCATTACCACATAATGTTGTTAAATATTCTTCTACCCCTCACCAGAAAGAATAAGTCAAGAAAGCACATAATAAAATACCTTTTATTTACTTCCTCATCTGCAAATTCTGTGGGTATGAGAGAGAAATATTTCCCCATCTTCAGCCACAGATTAGATTTAGGGATCCATCCATTGTGTGCATGAATAGTATGGATTTTAGCAAGCTGTCTGGCAATGAGTCTAAAAAAATAAAGTTCAGTTTATTTTATTTTATGTGCATCTGACAGTCTTTACTGTATTTTCCCCTATCAACAAGAGAAAATAACTACAACATGTTTAACAGACAAATTAAAAAAAAAAATTCATCAAGGGAATCTGAATAGCAGTACAGCTGTAGAGTAGCACTTTTCAGGACTGGAAAGGTCATTAACAGCACACTGCTTGAGAGAGGCACCAGAGTTCTGCTATAGTATATAGCATATATCACCCGTGTTTTCAGTTTATTCTAACTCACTTTTCTTTAGAAGGATTGACTCAAATTAGCTGCCATCCTTAGGCAAATACATTTCAGCATGAATACTGAATACACGGAAACACTACATACATTGAATACATGCTAAAACTAAAATCTTAAGACATCGGCACTTTCTGTTCACTGCTAATAGTTTAACAAATTGTATGGAAGACTATTTTGAATCTACTCACAAAAGGAACATATCAGAGCTAGAAGTATTTGCCTTAGTGAAGTCCAGCCTCCTGCAACTACATCATGTTAAATGATCTCCATAATGGTGATGTGCAGGTATTAAATACAATAAGCAAACATCTAATGAGTATATAGTCTTCTGGGGAAGCAGCAAGGATTATTTGTTCAGCACTGAAATACCACGATAACTAAAATAGAGGACAGTGAGCTGTCAAGAGTGTGAGGCATCAATTTAATGCAAGCTTATATATTTTTTCCCTGCTTATTAGTAAAACTTGAGATCTTTAGACCTGACAGAACACAATAAATGCATCATAGGACTTGAATAATGAAATAATAATTAATTTTTTAGAAAAATAGAAAGCTTACCTGAAAATATCTGGATTACATACATGTTCTGGATCCAGTGCTTCACCCTGCATGAACTCGTAGCACAGGCCATTATTGAAAGTACAGTATAGTTGAGGTGCACAGCCATGGGCCTGTAATACACGGAAACTCTTCACTTCCTCATCTCGATCTACTAAGAGCTCGGTCTTATTTCCATAGATCCTAACTAGAACGACATCATCTGTTATGTCACCCACGTAGCAACCGATTAATTTATTGGTGATTCCATCTGTGAACAGCTGAAAAGTAAAAATAATGCATAAGCAACTTAAAACTGCATCTGGACATTCAATGTGCAGGAAAGGAATGCAGCGTTGTTACTTTATTCACAAAACAAATGTTTACTAGGTTGAGTATTAACAAAAGAAATCTTTACAATACAGAAATATGGTGAAGAAAACCGCAAGGATTTTTACCATGCCTGGTTAGGCAGACGGTACAGCACATGAAAAGAGGAGGAAAAAAAAAAAAAAACATGCTGCAGTGAACTACAGAAATACTACATACAAGAGGCCATAACTGAAAGTTCAGTACTGTAAAATGAATTTCCACACAACTACTCTGAAGCTGACGGATTAAAATAGCTGTAAACCAAAGCCCCAACAAACCAACATGAAAAGTCATACATATAGGTGCACAAAATCAAAATTAATTTTGATGCACTTCAGAATTTTAGTATTTGCTGATCAGTGTACAACTAGTAAAAGATACTCCTGCAGTTCTAAACTACTCACTCTTTTAAAAAGCAAGACTCAGGTCAGAAACAGTTTCAAATTTGGTGGTTATAATCTTCCCACTAACCTTGAGGTATTGACTGATAACAATTCAACATTTGTTCAACATCTCTGTCACTGACATGGACAGTGGGATCGAGTGTGCCCTCAACAAGTTTGCCGATGACACCAAGCTGTGTGGTTCTGTTGATATGCTGGAAGGAAGGAATGCCATCCAGAGGGACCTTGACACGCTTGTGAGGTGGGCTGATGCCAACCTCATTAAGTTTAACCATGCCAAGTGCAAGGTCCTACACCTGGGTCGGAGCAATCCCAAGCACAGCTACAGGTTGGGCAGAGAAGAGATTCAGAGCAGCCCTGCAGAGAGGGACTTGGGGGCGTTGATGAGAAAATGAATATGAGCTGGTAGTGTGCGCTTGCAGCCCACAAAGCCAACCGTATCCTGGGCTGCATCAAAAGGAGCGTGACCAGCAGGTCGAAGGTGGTGATCCTGCCCCTCTACTCTCCTGAGACTTGGGAGTATTGTGTGCAGTTTTGGTGTCCTTGACATGGAACTGTCGGAACAAGTCCAGAGGAGGGCCATGAGGATGATCAGGGGACTGGAGCACCTCCTGTATGAAGACAGGCTGAGAAAGTTGGGGCTGTTCAGCCTGGAAAAGAGAAGAGACCTAATAGTAGCCTTCCGGTATCTGAAGGGGGTCTACAAGGATGCTGCAGAGGGACTCTTCATTAGGTGGCAATTCATAGTGATAAGGGGTAACGGGTTAAAACTTAAACAGGGAAAGTTTAGATTAGATATAAGGAAGTTCTTTACTGTGAGGGTGGTAAGGTGCTGGAATGGGTTGCCCATGGAAGCTGTGAATGCTCAATCCCTGGCCATGTTCAAGGCCAGGCTGGACAGAGCCTTGGGTGGCATGGTTTAGTGTGAGATGTCCCTGCCTATGGCAGGGGGGTTAGAATTAGATGATCTTAAGGTCCTTTCCAACCCTACTATTCTATGATTCTATAATTCCTAAAGTTACCCTGGCTTCTCTACAATTTTGAGAAAGTACTTAAAATTCAAGACCTTAGCCTTCAGCCTCAAGCACCATGCCAAATTTCAAAGCATTTGACAAGACCCACCATCTTCACATTGTACTTCATAACTAATACACATCATTTAAAAGACTGAAAAGGCATTTTAAGTCTGTATCATTAAGATGTACATAAATGATATTTTTAAAGCCCTGCAATTTACTGGACTTTGACCAGTCTCACGATTGATTCCTGAAGATACTGAAGATAAAGCAACTAACTTTCTACAGAACAGAGCATTATGCTTGTATCTAATTACAACCTTCTCACTGCTTTCCAAAAAACGATGGAGGCATGGATACTGCAAGTTCCCAGCTAAGGAAAGGGGAGAGCAGACCAAAAAACACCCCATTCCTTGACTGCTGCTTGTCCTTTTACACATGATAAGGCCTAAAATAAGTCACTGTACAGGCTGAACTCCTGGAGATTCTACCAAACATCAGGCTAGATCCTGAGTTATTGGGCTTCATGCACTCAGTTGCATGCAGTCAGGCATTTGAAATTCCACTCCATGCTTGCAAGGGTAACACAGCAGTTCTTAATTTCAAACTACAATCCAGGACAGCTGTACAGCTCAGAAAACAGATGTTTGGCACTTTAAAACTCTCTGCCCTCCATCAACTAAAGAACTTGCTAGCTGAGCAGTACCCATACTAATGCTACCTATTAGGCAAGTAACTGAATGACAAGCCATTAAGATCCTCAGGTGAGAAGAAGCTTCACAAGCAAGAACACCAGTGTTTGCATAACTCCTGAACATTCTCCTGCAGTCTTAAACATAAAAAGTGAACAATTTAAAGTTGAGGTTTTCACAGCAATTGTAATTATATTCAATTTTTCTTTAGTGTTTACAGTTATGCCTCTTCTACTCCATTTCTCCCAAAACCCTAATAAAACTCAATTAAAAAAAGATTAAACCTTCCCACAATGCACAAAACCTCCTTTCAGGACCCTGCCTTAGAACTAGCTTTAAGTTGGTTAACATATAGTTAAGACATACACAATTTTCCCTTGGGTGGATATTCTTCAAGCTTAACTTACCATCATTCTTTAGGAAATGCTTTTATTAAAACTACACGACGATAACAGGCAACTTCTCTACAGGTATCACTCCTTAGAACCTTGGACAGTTTGGGTGTTTGGGGTCTTTTTTTTTTTTTTATTTTCTTGTTGTTGGGGGGGGTTGGTGTTTGTCTTTTGTTTTATTTAAAAACAAGACATAATTCAGAAATTTTTATTCCTCCTGAAGTAGGCTTTATTTTTAAAAGTAAAGTACTATCACTCAAACAGAAGTACCAGCTTATCTGTAAACCCCAGAGGTTTAAAGAAATCAATCACTAGAAGCAATTTTAATTCCTAAAGAAAAAATTCAGAAGCTGGCGCAAGTCTCCCCATTTAGGATAAGACTTTCAGAGCAGAAGATGCTATGTTTTAGACACTCGATCTTGCTTTTCTCAGCACCCCTATGTGATGAGGTGAAAAACCTCATGAATAAATGCAGAAAAGGACTAGGGAAGATTTAGTTGTCATCACAAATTACATCTCAAGTTCCTGAGGAAAGGTAAAGAATAGCAGATAATATGAATGTCCTCCATTTTCTTAAATGGTTATGAACACACAGTCTTGCAGAGATAGGTTCAGCATATCAGGTCACTTCCATCTACACAGGGTAACCATAAATTCAAATAAACCTGCTTACTAAGCCTCCCTGATTGACTTAAAATTAAGACTTCATAATTTATGGACACATTTTATTACTAGCTATTATTCTAATAACCCAGAATAAGAGACAAGTAATAAAGACTCTTGTCTAAACTGTCTTTATAGCAACTGTTACAATGTTAATTAGTGCAAGTAAGAATACTGTATCATTTAGCACACTATCCTATTTTTTTGCTTACTACTTATTACAGATGTTTTAAGTTTTCTCCATGTACATAAGCATACTGTTGCAGCAATGCACATGCTGTATCAAGAGCAGGATGATGTGCTTGAGCAGTGTTAACCTAATTTGAACAGACAGTACTTAAATGCTTTTCAAAAAGTATGACCTACAAATTACACCTTTATGGTACTATGTATTCATTTATAACCTTTCCCCTTGTAAGTGCATTGCTACTTAGATCACAAGGGATCTTCTGTAAATCATCTAGCTCATCTTCTCAAGAAGGGACAAGTAAAACCAGTCGCCCAGGACTGTCCAGCATCTCCAGGAATTCCAGAGACTCTACAGGCCGCCTGTGCAACCCGTTCCAGCATTTGACCACTCCCACAGTGGGGGGGGGACGGGGGACGGGAAGTGTTTTCTTGCCTTCAAATAGAACTTCACATGCATTTTATTACACACCCAGAAACTTGCCTGTCACTGGATACTGAGAAGAGTCTGGCTCCCTATTCTTCATTCCCTCCCATCAGGTATTTATACATACTAAGACCCCTGCAAGTCCCCTTTGCTCCAGGGGAACCAGTCCCACCCTCTCCTCATAGGAAAGATGCCCTTCATGGCCCTTTGCTGGACGTGCTCCAATAAGTCTGCTTATTTATCACACAGGGGAGCCAAGAACACAACACAGCACTTTAATATGGCAAAACAATGTAGAAGTACTGGTTCTTATATATTTCAGCATAAAAACAGAATTAACTCGTTAAAGATTTTAAAGAGTATTTTGCAGAGGTGATTTATGTTGAGCTGTCAATGAAGTTACAAAGTATCTTGTCTGCCATACTTAAAGGAAAACTGAAATGTAGCACTAGAAAAAACTCTTATCCTGTTGTCGCAGGGCCAAAAGCGAAATTTCTCTTGAATTAAGAAGGATCAAAACCACTATGTGGTTTTAAAAAAAAAAAAAAAAAAAAAAACAGAAAAATCCTATTGCCTTTCATCAAAGGGCAAAGGCAATAAACAAAAGCAATAACTTCCAACATACAAGAGGACTATTTTAAATCACTGGAATTTGTGCTACCTACCATTTTCTACTTATAAAACAATCTCACCTAATAATAATAAATAAAGCTTGATTTTCTCACCATAAAAAATTGTATTAGGAAAAAGACATGGCTCTAAGGTCATCAGAAATAGTGATACTACCAAAAAAAAAAAACAAACCCAAACCCCAATCCAGACATTACGTGGTGCTGATGCAAAGAAATACTAAGAATTTGACTTGTTTATGCTGTTAAACTTCTGGCCACTGTACAACTTCTGTCATACTGCACAGGTCTATTATCCCTTTGAAACAAATCTCATTAGTGTTAATAAAAAGAAATCCACAATAAGGAAATTGGACTCCCTCAACTGATAATTTAGGAACTCTACTTATTAGCATCTATTTGTAACATGCTGCTATAAGTAATTATTTACACCAAGGAGTATTTTAGTTACAGCTTTTTAAAAAGGCAGAAGAGTTTGATTGCTTTTCTAAAAGCATTAT